TCAATAATTAAATTAATTATTAATTTTGTCTCTTTATATATATATATATATATATATATATATATATATTACTTGTATATTAATAAAAATGTATTTCAATGTATTTATAAAAAATTAAAATTATTTTAATTACTGAATTGATATTTTAAATTTATATTAATATCTTGAATAATTTAATAGTTGGTATATATATATATATATATATATATATATATATATCACTTTAATTTTTTTAATTAAAATTAATTTCATAAAAAATTAATATTTGAAAATTAAAATGCAAAAAAAAAAATATATATATATATATATATATAAAAATTTATTTATTTTTTAAAGATGATATATTCAATGTATGTTAAAAAAGTTCAAGCCAAACTATTTTTATAGAAGATTTTCAAAACTGCTGGTTTAATTAATCTGTTAAAAGATTCTTTTAATATGTTAAAAGTGCAGCTTTTAATCTGTTAAAACTTCTTTTAATCCACTAATACGTTCTTGATTCTTTAACAGATTTGTTTTAACCGATACGACAACGTTTATATCAATTAAAACACTTTACAAAAAATCTTCTAAGTTGATTTAATCGATTGTTTCGCGATTCAATCGATTGAAATACTCGCAAAACTTTCTCCTAAAACTTTTCAAGTTATTTTAACTGATAAAAATAAGTTTTAATCGATTAAAACGATGTGCAGAATCTGTTTTAATCGATTGAAACGAGATTTAATCGATTAAAATAGTTATGATCAGTCATAAATGCATTCTGACCGATCATAATTGAAACCATATAATAGCGGTTCAAGGGTTAACCGCTATCTAAGTCATATTTTAAGAGCGGTTCCGTGTAACCGCTATCTAAACGTCATCTCGCTTGAGCGACAACATTCTCGCTCGAGCTAAACGCCCTCGCACAAAATTAGTACTCTCGGGTTGTATTTCGCTTGAGCGAGTCTATCTCGCTCGAGCGATAGTTGATTCTGATCGATTATATTTTCGAAATGATCGATCATATTTGATAATTTTTTCAAATAATTAATTATAATCGATTAGTTTTCTAAATTATTGATTAGAATTGATTAGTTTTTCAAATAATAGATTAGAATTGATTAATTTCTGAAATATATACTAAAAAAATATAATTAAAACTATAAATTAGTTAAGAATATTGACTATTGTAAAGATAAAGTAGAAACATGGGAGGAGATGAGGATGATAATATAATGATAGAACTTACAAAAATGTAGAATTGAGAAGTTTGAAACAAATAAAAATAAGAAAATAGATATTTAATTACACTTTTAATAAATTTAAGATAATACTAGTTTTGATTTTTATTTTTAAATATTTAAAACAGAGAAACTATAATTTTAGTTTCTAGCTACTGAATTTAAAGAATTAAATTTATTATTATTTAATCTTTTAATTTGTAGAATTAAACTCAATATAATTGTTAAAAATACTTTGTAGAGGCATTTGAGAAAGCTTTTGTCAAAATACTTTGTTTTTAATTGTTAAAAACATTTGTAGAGGCATTTTGCAAAACATAATTGAGATGATATGATAGCGGTTCCACCTTAACCGCTATCTAAAGTATAATTAAGATAGCGGTTAATGGTTAACTCGCTATTAGAAGTGCACTTTTAAGAGCGGTTCTGTGGAACCGCTATCTAAAATGTATTTCGCTTGAGCGACAATATTCTCGCTCGAGCGAAACTCCAACTGCACAGAATTCGCATTCTCGGGTTGTATTTCGCTTGAGCGATACTACTCTTGCTCGAGCGAAATACGATCCTGATCGATCATAACTTGAAATGATCGATCATAATTGAGAGGATATAATAGCGGTTCCCTCATAACCGCTATCTAAAGTGCATATTAGATACTGAGGTGTATTTCGCTTGAGCGAGACTACTCTCGCTCAAGCGAAATCCGATTCTGATCGATTATATTTTCAAAATGACCGATCATATTTGATAATTTTTTCAAATAATTAATTATAATCGATTAGTTTTCTAAATTATTGATTAGAATTGATTAGTTTTTCAAATAATAGATTAGAATTGATTAATTTCTAAAATATATACTAAAAAATTATAATTAAAACTATAAATTAGTTAAGAATATTGACTATTGTAAAGATAAAGTAGAACATGGGAGGAGATGAGGATGATAATATAATGATAGAACTTACAAAAATGTAGAATTGAGAAGTTTGAAACAAATAAAATTAAGAAAATAGAGATTTAATTACACTTTTAATAAATTTAAGATAATACTAGTTTTGATTTTTATTTTTAAATATTTATTTTAATTATTTCAAACGAGAGAAACTATAATTTTAGTTTCTAGCTACCTGAATTTAAAGAATTAAATTTATTATTATTTAATCTTTTAATTTTAGTATTAAAATTTTAAATTATATTTTATTAAATTAAAATAATTACAGTATATTTTTCTCCTTTGAGAATGAACAAGTATAATTAAACTCAAAATTGACAATATTATAATACATTTTTGAACTCTTTTGGATTAATTTCTTTTTCCTAATTTTTTATAAAATTAATTTTAATATTTAAAAGTATTTAATATTTTAAATTCTGAAAGATTTTCTCTAATAGAAAATTTAAAAACATAATATAAAAAAAATAGTTAATGTAAGTTTTAATTATGATCGGTCATAACCGCATTCGACTCGATCATAATTGAAACCATATAATAGCGGTTTCAGCTTAACCGTTATCTAAGTGAGCTTTTAAGAGCGGTTCCCCTTCTAACCGCTATCTAAAATGTATTTTGCTTGAGCGAAAAATTCTAGCTCGAGCGAAACGCCCCTGCACAAAAGTGGTATTCTCGGGTTGTATTTCGCTGAGCGACTCTAATCTCGCTCGAGCGATGGTGCAACCGCTGTTAGTAAAGATATGTAAAGATATGTAAAAATATAAACATATAAATATATATAAAAATATGTAAAGATATAAACATATATCTTTAATATTTTGTAAATGTAAATATAATTTATATATATTTTTAAATCTTTTTCTAATATTTATTTTTAAAAATATAATATTATTTTTAAAATTTAATATTTTTTTTCAAATATATAAATATATAAAGATATAAATGTATAAGGATATAAATAAATATATAAATATATCAATATATAAATATATCAATATATAAATATATAAAAATATAAATATATAAATATATAAATATATTAATATATTAATATATAAATATATCAATATATAAATATATATATATATATATATATATATATATATATACAAATATATCAATATATCAATATTATCCCCTCATATATTAATATACATTATTAGCATAATTTTAATTTAATTAAAAATTAGAATACAAATATACTATACTATACTATACTAATATACCATTATATTATTTTCATTGTATATAAATTACACAATTAATAATTTGTATACTATACTATACTAATATATTATTTGTATACTATACTAATAGTATAATATACTATATTATAATATTATTTGTATAGAAAACTAATATATTTATATATAAATATGAAGATATAAATATATAAAAATATAAATATATGTAAAAATATATAAAGATATAAATATATCAATATATCAATATATCAATATTTAAATATATATTAAAATATATAAATATATTTTTATTTATAAATTTTATATTTATATATTTGTACGGATATACATTTATTTGTATATAAATATAAATTATTTGTAAGTTATTATTAAAAGATCCTAGTAGCTCGATGGTTGGAGTTTCAACCTCCAACTCTAAGGTACCGGGTTCGAATCCTGACAATGACAATAAACCACTTAATAATAAGTTAAACTTCTAAAAAATATAATATAATTAAGAGATAGGGGAAATAAATATAAATAAAAACTTAAATAAGCAAAAATATAATATCATTAAGAGATAGGGAAAATAAATAATAGATATAATAAAAATGTAAATAATTAACTTTTTCATTGATTCAGTGACCGATTCGAGTTGGTCACTATTTTAATTAGTAACCGATTTTGCACATTTAGTGACCGAATTTTCGGTCACTATTTGATGTTTTTCTTGTAGTGTGACATGATGTGTCTTTGAAAAGAAATTAAAGATACCTATTATGATTTTAATTAAAGTTAATTTAAGTTGAATGATTTGTAATATATAGAAGGAATCTTGTTCTTGGATAACTTGTCACCATCAAGATCCAATCTTTAACCTAACTAAATGAAAGACAATGACTTTGTTGATAAGTTCAACCTATAATATGAACTAAAAAGTTTAATCTTTGATTTTCAAGTCATCAAATGAATAAAGTGAGAAAATATTAAATTATTTTAATATTTAATATTGACTCATATAATTTATAAAACAATTTTAATAAATTCTAATATGATAATTATTAGATTATAAATATATAAAGTTATGAAAATTATTTTAAAGATATTAAAATTAATTCTCTCTTCTTACTTCATTTAATATATTATAGTCTTTTAAAAAAAGTTATTTTTTAAGGTTAATTTTTGAGGAAAGTTATCATAAGATTAACGGTTGTCTCTTTTTCTTTTTAAAAGTTATGTTACTTATTTGACAGAAAAAAATATTCATAAATATTCTATATTATTAAGAAAGTACTAAAGAAAAAAAGAAAAATATTAATCATTATTAAAGAGATGTTTGATAATGGACACAGACAAGATTTTGAACCTCGTAACAAAGATTTCTCATAAAATAAACAAGGTTTATGAACACAACACAGAATGCAGCAGGTTGAATGAAATAGCAACTTACATTACTCTCTTCATGGATTGATATGATGGAAAATAAAATGCAATTCACTCTTAAGAATAACTAATTGATAATTCATTTATAATAATATTTAAATAAAAAATCATTATTATAAATGAATTAGCAATTCATTATTTTGTAAAATTGGATTGTGAAGTGAAATAATGATTATTGATTGATAAGATAAGGAACTAGAAGTTGGAAGAGGTTTTCCAGTGAAGGAAGGCTTGGAGCGTGGCATGATCAGCCCTGTAGTGTTTCTGAGTGAAGTCACACAAATTGGACCATGTGAAATCAGGGTACTTTCTATCCTCATTTTTTGTTATCAGAGTCTCTGGAGGCCTCACCACTTTCTCCTTCCTTGGACACACAAAGTATACCAATGACTTTCTCTCTCTCTTTCTGTTCACCACTGCCCTGTGCACACAACTCTTGTATCTCCCATTTGACAGTGCCTAACACACCATTTCATTCAGTTAGCTCCTCTCTGTATCTATCTATCTCTATTTGAAAAAGGAAAGAAAATATTAGCATACGTACGTACCATGAAAGTGTCACCAATGTTAATGACCAAGGCTTCAGATCTAGGGCGAACAGCTAGCCATTTGTTATCTACAAAAACCTCTAAGCCTCCAACTTGGTCTTGGTGAAGAATGGTGAGTGAGGTTGGATCAGTGTGAGGGCCAGTTCCTAATGTGAGGTTGGCACTGATGCAAGGTGGATAATAGTTGCACCTCATTATTGAGTCACCATCTTCAAAAAACCTTCTATAATGCAAACGATCCACTCCCAAACTAATAGCCAAGACCTCCATTATTACTGAAGATAACTCCTTCATTGCTTCACAGTACTTTTGATACACCCTCCTTTTCAAGATTGATAATTCCAAATAGATAAAACCAAAAATCTTGTTAATTATAATTAAGGAAACTGTTATTTATTTATTTTCCTCCTTTGGTTAATCAAGTTATATGATTGTGGTGCTTTGATTAGCATTAATAATTGTGGCACATCAACCAATATCACCCTCCCTGCTAATATTAACAAAGGCTACAGTTGGGTCCCATCTCTACACAAAAATATAATATTTTAAAAAATTATAAGTATGATAATATTATATATATATATATATATATATATATATATATATATATATGAACAATTTTTTTCGTTAAAAACTTAATTTTCATCTCATCATTTACTTCTTGATAATTTAATAATTAAAATAAATTATAATTTTAAATTATTGAATTAAAATAATAAAAATAAAAAATAAGTTTCTAATTTTTATTCTTAAAATAAATAACTCTATATATATACACTTTATAATAGTCTTAACTAAATAAAAGTTTCTTAAAAATAAAAATCTCAATAGTATATATATATGAAAGAAAATAATTAATAATCTAAAATAAATTATACTCAACTTAGAGTTATCGTAATATTCAAAAAGATAAATACACTGCAATTAAAATTTAACACCCAACCAACACTTTTATTATAATTGACTGAAAATCATAAGAAATACAAAAAATAATAAAAGAAAACATTTCAGGGTGTGTTTGATAAAAGAAAATAATTAGTGTACCATCCACTCTATAATATTGTCGTCCATTTGAATGTTGTCATAAGTTTTGTATTATTATTCAAGCTAGCTATCACTTTAATTTTTATTCTATTTTATTGTATGATTCATCTTTATATATATATATATATATATATATATATATATATATATAACTTTAAAATACATATAGAAATACAGGTTTCAAACATGTATTATAGGCATATGATGACGATAATTAATGTGCAGATATTGTCCGTTTTGAGAGACGTATCTGTCCATCACATCCTCAGCAGTTGTAACAACTCTCTTTTGTTTATTCTTTAGTAAATAAATTTGTTTAAGAACAAACATTGCCATACAGTGAAGGAGAGAGTGTCTTACTCTCTAGTAAGTTCTTCATTTTTTTTTTCAAAAGTATCAATTTTTCATGCGTCTCATGTACTTGTAAACTTCAATTCATGATATAACTGTTGAAAATTGGGCGAGTTGATACGTTATACAGAATCAAAATGAAAAATTATAAGTACCTTATATTGTGCAAAGTAAGATTTTGAGTTAACGATCATCTTAAGTTTTATATTTTTAGGATTAATTTGAAGTGATTTTTTAATATCTTTATGTTATTATTTCTTAGAAATACTCTACAATATAATATTAGAGTAGGTGTTTTATCCGATAAATTTTATTATATTGAATGGTGGTGATGCACGAAAAATTATAATTAAAATGTTTGTGGTTAAGAAATATCTTCGTTCGATAAAAAATATATCGAGAATCACACTTAAAAAATTTATTGTGAATCCAAATATAAATTAAAATCACATAATGAATTAAAATTAAATAACAATTATATAATACATAAGAAACACCCACAAACGTAATGTTTTAAAATTTTAATTAAAAATAATATCCTATTCTGTTTATTCGTTCACATCTCTTATTATTAAGTCTCGTGATAAATATCTGATGAAATCTTAATATTTTAATTGAAAATAATATTATAAATTGTATAATTGATTCTTATTTTTTTCTCTTAATTATCTCGTAAATGTTATATATATATATATATATATATATATATATATATATATATATATATATATATATATATATATATATATAATCTTATCGAACAGTTCTATGCTCAATTATATTTTTCTGTATTGTCGAGTGTTATAAATAATATTTTGTACTGATACGAAATGGAAGGTGGATAATCTTACCCTGTGCGTTGAAAGTCCTGGCCTAAGACAGATTCAAAGTAGTCAACAATCTCGGAATTGGAGGAGCCTTGGTGATGGAAGAGGAAAGAAAATGTCTCTTTCCATGGCAATTTGGAGGAGAAACGATCTGCATGAGCACCAGAGTAGCCAGAGACTCCACCAGGTTTCCTCTGAGCAGTGAGTTTTCTGCTCATAGGGAGATTGAAAATGGTGTCAATTTCCTGGTGGGCAGCATCTATGAGATCTGGGTCCACACCATGGTTGATCACTTGGAAAAAGCCATGCTTCATGCAGGCATTCCTCACAATCTCTGCAGAATTGGCAATTGTTTCCTCATCACCATTCTTCATGATCCCTAAATCTACAAGGGGTTCCTTCAACTCCTCTTGGCTGGCCTCAACCAAATCCCCAGAAGGCCAAATGAACTCTTTGGGCATGTCCCCTTTCATTTGCAGAAAATTTGTGTGAAAATCTAGCTCTCCATTCTCTTTTTTGGGCTCTTGTGATGACTGTGATGCAGGGTTGAGAACTAGAGTGGAATCCATTTATGAAGGAGATATTTTTTCATACCTCACCTAGCTTAGAGGGAAGGATGTGTGGACATGTAAGAATGAAGAAAATTTAGGTATTGTTTTATAATCAATTCGTGGGAAGAAGTTTTATAAAATATTAAAGTTAAAAAAAGGGACTATCATTTGAAATATTTTAATTTTCATATTGTATTGTTTGAATAATTCAAATATATAATAAAATTATAATTTAACTCATAAACATTTCTAAATTAAATTTTAATTATTAATTGTAATGAAATAATTTAACATGAAAAAATATTAATCCTTTAAATTCATCAAATAAAAGATATTAAAAAACTTTAAAGTCTTTCATATGAAATAGACACTCAAATAGTGTTTGAAAATTTGGATTACATCGCCATTATTCTCATATATTCTCATATATGATATGGTCATCAATATTGAGAAGCTGTTGTAAACTATCTCGCGACAATGTGAAGAAATAATCATTAAAAGCCCAAAAAAAAATAAAAAAATAAAAACTAGGTAGAAATGAAAATATATGCCAAAGTATGTAGAAATAAAAGCTAGGTTTCATATGTATTCTTACTCAAGACCAAAGCAAAAACAATGTTCTAAATTCATCTAATAGAGTTTCCAATTCTTGGCCACTACAACTATGATGAAGGTGTGCAACATCATTCAATACATTTCCTTTTGCATTATCATGCAAAAATGCGTTTTAAACACATGTAAATGATAATCAAAGGTAATTTCATGAAACATGATATAGAGAAAGTCATTCAAATACAAGTGAAGGACTACAAAAACTTCAAAATCCATTCCCTCTAAAAAGTGTAGATCTCAAGGTACATTAAGATGACATGTGACCTACTAAATGAATATGTTGTTTGTTAGGATTAAATGAGAAATTTTAAGACTGTTTGAAAAAGTTTAAAATTTTTAAATTATGTTATGTTAATTGTAATACGTCACATTTCATTAAGAATAAGACTGTATTTTTAGTTTTCAGATTTTAATACCAAACATGGTCTTGGTTTCTTAAATAACGTTCAAATTTAGTTATTTAAAAAAAAAAAAGTTATAGTATAAAAAAAGTCTGCTAAGTGTCCACCATCATTTTCGTTAAGACCGTCATTTATTTTTGTTATATATAATAATTAAGATTAATTTTTACATTAAAAATATTATTTATTTTAAAACTTTATTGAAAATATTGTCTGTTTTAAAATTTTAATATGTCATAATTTTATTTTTTTAAAATATTTCAGTGAATTAAAAAAAAAAATATATATATATATATATATATATATATATATAACTTACTTTTAGATTTAATTTATAAGTGATACAAAATTCATAAATACATGATAATAATTTCAAAATTAAGACTTTTAAAAATGACCAAAATTATTATTTTTTTCTCAAAAAAATTCATGAAAGTTTTTTAATCAACTAAATCTAAAATAAATCATACCTATTTTAGTGCAACAATGCTTTTAAAGATTAAAATATATTTAATCTTAATTTATCCAAGTTTTAAAAGCACGGTACAATGCTTCCTCCCCTAAACATGATGAATGCTGGTTCATTGAATGAGGGGTATTTTCCCTAAACCTTAGGCAGCAAAAAGAGTACTTTTTAAACAGGAATGCTATAGTTCACGAATTTGGGTTGTTTACCGTTGTTGCAGTCAAAACGTAGAAGTTAGAAATGATCTTTTATTGACCTTGTGCAGTTCATTTTTAACAGAAGGCAGGGGTTCTGTTCCCTTACTTGCGGAGGTTCTTCTTTCCTAGTCAATACAATCTTCTGAAGTTTTTTTCTTAAATAAACTCTTTGTTTTTAATTAACAATGAAAATTATTTCTTAATTTTTTTAAATAACTTCCCACTCATTCGTTTTTAGTTCTGATATAATATAATAAAATGATCTACAAAACTTTCGAAAACTCAGTAATTGAGATTCTCATTGTACACTAAAGTCAGTAAATAAAACAAAGGATAAACCGTAACTGAAAGATAAATAAAAACAAAAAATTATAAGAAATGCATGGAGTATTTATATATAATTAAGAAGTAATTAAAGATACTTTAATATTTTTTAATACGTATTGATTATATTTAATTTTTAATATTCATTAATTGTAGACTTTAGAAATTTAGAAATATAAAAATCAAATTGAAAAACATATTAAAAATAAAAAATCCAAATCAAGAAAATAAAAATAAATTAATCCACATATTCAATAATCATAATTTTCTGGATATTTAAATTAAAGTTTAAAAATTAATTAATTTAATTAATTAATTGAACATATTATATAAATTAAAATCAAAATATTATATAATCTAATTCGTATTTAATCAAATAATAATCTAATTGATTTCTAATTTGATTTTATCATAAACATAAATTATAATGAAAAAAAAATCAAAATTAGAAAAGATAATAACAAACTCACACAATGGAGATTAGAAAAGATAATATCAAACTCAAAACGATAAACTATTGATGTAAAACTTTAATTAATAGTTTGATCTTAATTTTGTAAATTGATCGTAGGATTTAGTTTACCAAACGAATTTTAGAGAAGAGAGAAGTAAAAAACAGAATTAGAAAAAAGAGAAGATTGGATTAAAATAGGTATAATTTAATTTAGACTACAAATTTTGTGTCCTGTCTTAACCTATTTCTGAAACATTTTGAAATTGAATTAAGTTTATTTTGGGACCTAATCTAGATATTAAATTCTATGAATTATAATAAACATATATCTAAATATGTGTAGTTTAAGTATTAAAAAAATCTAATATATATCTTTTACAAATTTTCAACAAATTTGTTTTAATTTCTAATAATCGTACAAAATCATATATTCATTTTAATATCTTAAAAATGTAGAATCTTATACCATTGGAATAAAAGAAATCTATAAAAAAATTATAATGAAAATAATAAGCAAAAGATAAATAAATTAAAATTACCAATTATATAAATATGATATTTACCCTAATTTATTATTATTAAAAGAAAATAAGTTAAAAATTAAAATATTTATTATAAATAAAACTATAAATATATGTATAAAATATATATTATAAATGTGATTTATTCAAATTATATGTAACTTAATTTGATGACAGTGGCGGATCTTGACCAGTCATTATGGGGAAGCCAATTATAAAAAATTTTATATAATAATAAATAAAAAATAAGATATTTATCTAAGAGTGTGTCTTTCGTTTTTTTAATGTTTGAACTCATTAATAATGGAATCAGAACAAGTTTCCAATTATTTCTTTTTCAATATAAATGATCATATTATATGCAAGAATTTCATCTTTCATCCTATTTCGTAATCTTGTTTTGATAATTTTCATCGCAAAAAACAATCTCTCAGTTGTAGCCATAGAAACAAGAAGAGTTAAAATAAGACGAATTAAACATTCTATTAAGTAAAATGTAATGTACCTTACTTTCCTATTTTTGTCAAAGATTGACATAATTTAAGCATGGTAGACAAATTCTTCAAACCTAGATGGTTAGGAGCATCAAGTATAAAATGATGAAGTTAAAATTTTAAATTAGTCTTCTCTTTCACTACAATCCAAAGGATAAATTTGTTCACAAGTGTGCATATATGATCAATCTTAACATTTTTATAAACATCATTTAAAATTAAAGTATTGCTTAAAGTTAAAAGTTTCATTATTTTTCACTAAACCTATCATTTAATTCTTGTAATTCTATGAATCTTAGAAAGTGGTTCTTCTCATTGAATAATTGGATCATCAATATCATGCTTTGAAATAGGAGAAGAGGTTAAATTTGTTTGGTTTTCATCCCTACAAGAATCTCTTTTATCACTTTTAAAAAATAAATATATTCTTTTATGCTTCATATCTAGAAAAAAATTAATCTATTATTATTTTTCTAATTATAGAGTCATAAATATTTATAAAAAACAAAAATATTTTTCTCAAACAACAAATGTTTCTCAACAAAAATCAAAATAACAAATAATAATAAAATAAACAGTGAGAAAAGATGAAGAAAAAAATACAAATTATAGAAATAATTTAATACTAATCAATCAATATTACCGTTAATGAGAGAATATAAAAAGGTGAGAGAAAATGAAAAACTATTTTTAATCTTTCTTATTTAATATATTCTTTATAAATTAGAAAAACAATTAAATACTAATAAAATATTACCGAAATAATATGAAAAAGTGAGAGAAGATAGAAATGTCAAATAATAAAATTATTTTTAATATTTTTTATTTAATTTATTCCTTCAATTTTTTTTATGATATATTTAATATTGAAGGCCAAAATCATAAATATACAATTAAGTTAACTTTGGGGGCCATGTACCCTTAGCTACTATAAAGATATGTTACTTACTAATAATAAGTCAAAACAGCAAAGACTAAGTGACTTATTTGAAGTGTGACAACAAAGCAATCAATTATAGAAAGAACATCTTTATCATTTTTGCAACCTAACGGTAAAAATCCAAAATCAAACAAGGAAATGTTCATGGATGATTTTGTGAGTCTCAAACCATTCATTTAGAGATTTTTAATACATCGAACAACAGAAATATGATGGTGGTCAGATAGAGAATTAGCTCTCGCATTAAGGTAAAGGAAGTAATGGCTAAAAGAAGTACAATCTTTAAACATCACCTTAGTGTTATTAAATTCTCATATTTTACGAAGATATTTTATAAAAATTTTGTAAAAAATACAAAAATTAAGTTTCTTACAAATTAAAAAAAAATAACTAACTTCCTAATAATGCGTCCGACAAGAGCGCAAAACATCGGGTACCAAACAAAAACATGAAACAAAATCTGCATAAAATCGATGATTTTCGCTACAAGTCCTATGCAAATTGGATACTATCCTGATTCCCTGTCCAACCCCTCAACATCTTATTAAAAAAAAAAAAAAAACCTCAACATAATGTCACAAACCTACCCGGTCATAATAATAATAATTA